GGGGCGGCGCGTGGTGGCGGCGACGTGCGGAGGCGGAGTGGCGTTGGGTAAGAGCGTTGTCCGTCGCTGTGGCTGTGGGGCGAGCGCCGCCTTTGGGGGCGCCCTCTAGCGCGTCCCTTTCAGTCAGCGGGTGGTGCTTGGGACTCAGGGTCTATACCGCCTTGTCCGCTCCTTGAGCCTGGACGCTAGATGCGCGTTTAGGAGAAGCCATTTTACGACCTCTCGGTTACCCGGCCGCAGGTCTTTGGGCGCGTTGCAAACCCTCAGGCGGTCGCTTGAAGCCGGGACTAGAGGATTTGCTAAGGTCGCACAGTTACTCAAAGGCAGACGCGGGCTCCATCGTACTGCTCAACTTGTGGACTTGGAGGAGACAAGGAGATGACGAAGCTGTGGATAGTACCCGGCTTCTCTAGAGTTGCCACCACCTTTGGCCGTTTCTAGAATGGTACAGTCCTGAGCTGTGGAGTCACGAATTCATTATAGTCTTGTGGTTACAGACAGAAGTAACCTCCGAACCTGTAGTGTATTTTCAGTTAAATAAAAAAAGGACACACATTTATTAGAAAGTTTATGCTCGTGAACCGCCAGGTAGCGATACAGACACCCCTCCACTCCCCTTACGTAGTGTTTTGTCACCTGAAGGTTCTGTAGGAAGGATTTTCTGCATGTACCATAGCCCCGCTGTCAGTTCTGCAGGATGGTTCAACCTAAGGGTTTACTTCAAAATATATTCTTATTGTTAAGTCTCTGTGGTTTAAAGTGAAAATTCACAGCTGTTAAGAATACCACAATTTGAGTTAAGATACTTTAGAAGAAAATTTAAGATGTATATTAATGTAATTAGGAGATCCATTTGCTTTAGTCAAGATGGGAGATGGAAGAGAACAGTATTTTCAATATTTTAAGCAATAATCAGAGCAGTACTTTTAATATTTTGAGCAAGAAACCGTCCTTAATTTATTTCATTGCTTTTATGATGGACTTTATGAATTTTCCATTTAAAGACGATCCATTAAAGCAGTACGGTACATTTTGGCCAGCAAAGCTTTGAACAATCTCAGAATCAGTTGAGATATCCAGAATCATCAGAAATGAAGTGGTAATCTAGACTTTAATTGAAGATGTAAAAGTATATCTATTATTGAACATTCATAATTGAGAACAAATTGAAAATTACAAATGCAGGGAATTTTTTTTAGTATAAATTGCAAAACAGTATTTTTAAAGTGGTAAAAGGATCTGTTTTTGTTTTAAAATATATACCTCTCAATTGGAACTGTTTAAAAACTAGATTTTATTAGCAAAATGTTTGACTTAAATACTCTTGATGTCAGGTATTTTTAAAAAAGTATCTTGCTTAATGGTCATTGTGAATGATAATGAAGTACCACAAGAGCTCTTCTATCTCCTTCCTCTTTTCCCAGCTGCCCCCACCTTCTCACCAATCTTTACCAAGTTCTTAACGATATAATTCATATTTACAGCAAAAGCTTATTTTTGATATTTTATGATTGTAATTTGTAGTATGTTTACTTGATCAGTAGTGTTTAATAACAATATTAGATAACTTTTACAACTTATCTCTTTGAAAATTTTAATTCTGTTATTGTTTTAGGAAAATGAGATAGAATGACCAATTTAAAGTATTTTCAAACACCAAAGTATGTTACATAAACATTTGTGGGAAGTGTAAAGAAAATGTGAATTCAGCGCAAAAGGGATAATAAGTTCTTAACTGTTAAAGGAGAGTTTATGTACTTTTCAAAAGAATAGGTGGTGGTAGATGAGTAACTACAGTATTTGTTTTCTATTTATAAAAGTGATATACTATAGGCTCTTGTCTCTAGCACCTAGCTGTGTCTTAGACATACAATTTTTCCACATTAATAGCTTTTTGACTTGATATGCCTTATAGCCAACAGGAATTAATTACTGATGAAACTTTCTTATTTCATTCCAAATAAAACATGAATGTATTTTTTTGTACAATCGATTTGCTGGAAGAAACATATGTCAGTGAAGAAAATTTAATGGTCTCAAGAAGATTTTGGTGTGAATAATAAAGAGAATAAATATGAAAATTATCAACAGGAGAATAACAGAGAACCCAGAATGGGATTGGTGGATTATACATTGAAAGAAAACCCAGAGTAGGAAATTCATACACTTTTTATTAAGTGAAGTAAGAGCAACCCTGAGGCTTGATAGTTGCACTCTTTTGCTAGTTGAGATATAAATTTATTCAATATAAGCAGTATTTATTCAAATTGTTTAGCACCTGCCATGTGCTAGAAAAATTTTTAAACATTGTGATGAAATAGAATGGCTTTTTAAAGAATAAAGAATTAATTAAATCTATCCTGGAGAAGTCAGTCACATTGACAGAGACTTAGTTTAAAAACATGACAAAAAATTCCCTACCACCTTTTAATCCTCCAAATTTCTGTAAGATGCCTATAAAGAAAATAAAAATTTGCCCTACTTAAAATGGGAAGAGAAAGAAACCTATTTTGAGGATTTCATCAACATTGTAAAACTCAAGACAAAAGCTTTTTCAGAAGAAAGGAATTTTATAAAGGATGACATTTAAGTTCATTAAAATTTATACAAACATATTTATCAAATAAATTACATAGCAAAGCACAGGGAAGTTTTCCAAACAATGCACAACTACAAAATATTAAAGATGACAGTTTTAGGTAGTATAGTGGTTAACATTTTGTATCAACTTTACTGTGCCATGTGGTGCCCAAATATTTGTAAACACTTCTGGGTAATATTATAGGAAATGTTTATAGGTGTAATTAGCACTTGAATAAGTAGACTGAATAAAACAGATGCACTTATCTTTACTGATGCCTTGGCATCAGTATTCTGATTGTGGTCAGGAATGTTCAACATTTACTCCTGGTTTCAGGCTTTTCAATTTACATTGAGTTATATCAACAGCTTTTTTGGTTTTGCAGCTTGTGGACTATAGATCGTGTAAGTTTTTAGGCTCCATAATCATATGAGTCACTTCATGTCTTAGTTATAAAATTAAAGGTATAATTTCTTATTATAGGTCAGTGAATTGTTTATTCAACACACACACCCCCACCCAGTGTGTTTTTAATTTATTCACTGATGCTATTTTAGTATTTTCTCTTGACAGTCTTTCTATACAGTTTCATTTTGCCTTTACTAATCCCCTCTCATTCATCCTATGATCAAATGTGTTTACCTTGTCTTATGGATTTTACTGTTTAGCTATCTGGACTGCAAAAATAGTTTACTCTTTTTTTGTATGTATGTATGTATGCGTGTGTGTTGTCGTTTTGTTTTATTTTTAGCATGTTTAAAACACTTTAATCTAGCCAAGCCTTCTTCTGCAGTAGTTTCTCTAAGTGCTTCCACTAAAGGGTTTGATTTGTACATGTGTGTATGTGTGTTTTATTAGTGAGCATTTGAATGTTTGTATTTGTGTGGATTTTCTGGGGAAAAGAGGTCAGGGTAAGGTCTCACTATGTTACTCAGGCTCATATTTTCATTCCTGGACTCAAAGTGATCTTCTTGTCTCAGCTTCCTGAGTGCTGTCAGTACAGGTAAATAGATATTCATACAAAACGATTCTGATATTTTTACAATATGTAGTTTGTCAGATTTTCATTGATATATATATTTTTTTAATTAAAAGTTTTCAGAGTTGTAGGACCACAGAAAAATTCTCAGGCACCAGTTTGAGAATTATAGATTAATTGCCACGTGATTTTTTTTTTTTTGCAGTTTTAGGTATGTTTATTGATGTAAATTTGTGGTGTTCATTTGCATTTAGCTTCAAGTTCTTTTTTTTAAATTTTACTGAGTTTATTGGTACTTTTTTGTTGTTGTTGTTGTTTTGGTACTGGGGATTGAACTCGGGTCCTTGCGCTTGCAAGGCAGGCCACCGAACCGCTGAGCTAAATCCCCAGCCTGATACTTTTTAAGTATACAGTACAGTTACATTAATTGGGATCTTGTACCCCCACATGACAGATCTTAGTTATCATTTTTTCCCCATACCCCTACTCTCCCTTCATCCCCTCCATCATCCCCTATTTACAAAGACTTTGTTTCCATTTTTCCTTTTCTCATATTTTTTCTTGTCCCTTATTTCCTTTCCCCTACTCTTCCCGCTGCCCCACCATCTTTAGCCCTTCCTATTTCACATTATCAGTTACATAATTTGTATACAGTTATACAATTTACACTTTCAGTTTTTCACATGATGGCAGTACTCTGTTGATTACTAAATTATATTGTATTATAAAGCCATAGCAATTTAAATAAATCCAGAAATTAGATTCTCACAAGAGTATAGACAGGACAAAAGTATTTTGGGAAAATGAAGAAATAATGAACTTGAAAGAAAACAGTTTTGGAACAAATTGATATTCATGTGGGGAAGAAAAAAAGAAATTTCACTACCTTATACCATAAAGTAATGTCAAATACACATAAAGTTTAGGGGTACAAATATGAATTCGATTAGGAATTACCGGCTACATGAGTATCTGTTTCCTGCACTTGGCTGATAATGTCACTTCTGATTCCTCTTTTCTGTTTCTTCCAGTCGTACTAGAGGAGT